CAACTTAAAACTACGTCACATTATGGAAACTTGCAGAAGGACTTTTTTTGACCGAAATCACTACCCCTTACTTTACGTGAACGGCCACAGTTGTTTCTTTGTTAATATTTTTGTCTCTTGTTTAGCCGCCACTCTTGGAAATCACGCCCCTATGGGCTATTACAATTTCCCATTTGGTATAAAGGATAAAGGATAAAGCATTTGCCGTTGATCAATCCCTTTTTGGGATGCGGCACGCATTCTACTTCCATTTGTACATTCGTAGTGGCGTTTGAATGCGATGTGGCCTATACAATGACTTGCGGGGGCCAGCCGATGTACAAGTCAGTGTTTTTATCCTCCCAGACAAGTCTGGTACCAATTAACCGACCCCGGAGGGATGGAAGGCTTGGTTGGCCCGGGCGACTCACGACCCAGGATTTGATCCCGGACCGCTCGCGTGGTGTACCGCTTGTGTGGTGAGCGTGCCACTTGCCACTACACCACTTCCGCCCTCCAATTTGATTGTTGAAGAAAACACTCACCACCATTGTCAAGGGAATGAAATATCCAAGAGCGCACATAACATAGGCTGCCGAAGTGGGAAATCCCAAGGTGCGGATAGCTATGCATCGAAAAATCATAGACAGCATAATAGAGATAAACGAGTTCACTGCCAGATGCACTGGAAAAAAAATTCTCGGATTTTGGTACTCAAAGTGTTTTGTGATGAGAATGTACGTATGGGCGCACGCATGGTCGGTCGTCCGATCGTTACGATCATTACGGTCGCACAACATGAGATACGTATCGATCGTATGATGAGGACACATGCGATCGTTGCGATCGTATGTGTATCGATACGCATCAACTACTCCACACTAGCAGTTGGTCTTTCGGAAAACCGTGGCGCTTGGCGCAACCACGTGCTGTTTGGGTTTGCCCTAGTTCACCGCATCGCCTCTCCAAAGCGACAGTGGCTGGTGCGATCATTACGATCGTAAGACGATCGCAACGATCGCCACGACCGGACGACCGATTAATGCGCCCTATCACTCACAAATATTGTATAACTTATGAAATTCATATTCTACTTGATTCTCTCTCTATCTTGTGTTTCCTTTAAAAAAAACTCACGCATAGTGATTAGAAGCATGTAGCACACCCATGGTCCAAAATACTGGGCTGGTCCAAGGTACACGACGACAATACGCATTTCATTTGAGAAAATCCTTCAATTATTCACGATTTCGATAGAGTAGAAACATGGTAAGGGAAATAAATAAAGCTCCAAGTTGTATATTTATCTCCTCGAAACATGCTAACTTTCGTTCATAATTAGTGGTACTCGATTCATACCCTTACAAAACTTGAGTAAGAAGCCCCCTATCTACATACCCTAATTTGCGAAAGTAAATTCCGAACACGGTAGCCAACAGGAAAGATACTCAGGTAGCCACAATGAGATACAAGCGAAAAGAATGGCGAGAAGAAACAACTTCCGGCTTCCTATATTCCCGCCAAAAATTAAATAACCTTCACGAAGTTAAGTGCATTATGAGGTCCAGAACTTCTCGGTCAGAGTTAATCAACGTTTCATAATAATTGCTAAGCCCTAAGTGGAGCTGACGCCTGAAAAAATCATAAGAGGAAGTAATGACTCACTTTGGCTCGACCATAATCATCACCGCCGCGTACGATAACTGCGTAATTGCGGTGTTGGCAAGGAAAATTCGATACGGTGTGAGCTGTGGTGGGCTTTTGCGTATTATCATGTACAAAAGAAAACAGTTAGCAAAAATGCTAAGTATACCATTAGCTGTAATGCTGACCATGTAGAATATATCAGGCAACGTCACGAACATTCTGAAAACTGCTTAAGGTTAACAGATACATATGTACTTCAAAGGCAAGGATCAGGATTACATTCCAAGAAAGTACCCGCGGAAACACTCTCACATGCATAACTTTCTCCCACTTGGTCAATTCGCATCAAATTTGTGTAAGTTAAAAGCGCGACTGCTTTGAAAACTTTGGCGATATTTCCTCGAGTGAGTGAGGTAAGAGGGCCTTCAAGCAGAAGTCCTGGCAGTGTCGCGACTTGAAAGTTTCAAAAGCACCGAGGTCTTGCCTTAAACCCTGCGACCGCAGCCGTTTTTACTCTTTGTCTGTCGCGATGTCTGCGCTCTCCGGTACGACGTG